AAAAATATAAATAAATAAATAAATAAATAAATAAATAAATAAATAAATAATGATGGCCTTCCAGAGGCTGCAGAGCTAGCTCAGTCATTCAAAGCACTGGCTGCTCTTCCAAAGACCCAGGTTTGATTCTCAGCACCTACATAACAGCTCAAACCATCTTTTAACCCCAGTCCCAAAGGATCCAATGCTCCATTCCAACCTGCTTGGGCATGTGGTTCACAGACGCACACTCTAGCACACCCATACAAATAAAAATAAATTTTAAAGAATTTAAAAATTCTTTTTGGCTGGGCAGTGATGGTGCACACCTTTAATCCCAGCGCTAGGGAAGCAGCAGCAGGATGTTTTTTGTGAATTTGAGACCAGGCTGGTCTACAAAGTAAGTTCCAGAACAGTCAGAGCTGTTACACAGGGAAACCCTGTCTTGAAAAGAAAAACCAATAAAATAAAATAAAACAAACTTCCAGATGTATATAAAGTACACATGTATACATGAAAGACACAAGCCCGTTTCCTGAAGTCTCTGCTCTATCCCCGGTATGTCTTACTACACATCTACAAAGGTTCTAACATCTGAAACACCCAACATCGGGGCACACCCAGCAATAAGCACACCGATGCTCAACCTGCATCTCCTCATTTGAACCTTGTTCTGCTCAAACCCCTTAGCCTCCACTCTATGCACACCTCAGGGCCTTGTTCACCTTGCCCTCTGGGGGGGAGACTTTGTCTTACTTCACCTCCAAGGCCCCCCTTTCCTATCCCTTCCTTTCCTTCCCGTTACAACAGCACTCCTGTTGGGTTTGTAGGCACAGAAACAGCAGGGAAATGGGACTAGACCCCAAACTCAAATCCGGGGACGACTCTTCCTAATCCAGTGGTGAGAGGAGAGAGAAGGCTTTAATGGGCATGTCATGGGGGAGTGGGGAGCACAAATAGACAGACAGACCAGCTAGCAAGGAGAGGCCAGTACCTACCTCCACAGTCTTGTACAGAAAGGAGTACACCAGAGAGGCATTGGCGTTCTTCAGCGTGGTGGCCACCACTGGTACAGTAAGGTTAAGGAAAAAGAGCCATTTTCGAGGGAGGGGTGCTACATGTCTCCTGAAGTCCCCACCCCATTTCTCCTACCCCTTACCCCATGCACTGTGTACACTGGTCTCAGTACATCGCCCACCCTCTAGATCAAGTTCTTGGCACTCCTGCCCAGCATGGGGTGGATGCAGTAGAGGTTGCTGTGTTTGATCCACAAGAAGTGTACTCGGCCATGGCTCAGCAGCGGGGCCAGCACACCCTCCTCCTCACGCTGCATAAGCAGTGGCATGAAATGGTCAATCTCCGTCATGGGCACGTCACCTTTGTAGTTTCGGCTAATCAGGGGCTAAGGATAGGAAGAAAGGACTCAGCGATCACCAGTACCCAGACCCAGGGTTCAGGGGCCTTAGGATGGCATATTCTCTTTTCTCTAACCCTCCTTCTTCCCCATATACACCTGGCCTCTATTTTGTTTTATGGAGGGGATGGTGAGATAGTAGCTCACATAGCCCCAGGCCAGCCTTGTAACAGAGGATGACTGTGAAGTCCTGGTGCCCTGCTTCCACCTAGCTAGAGCTATGAAGACAAACCCTCTACCAGCCGGGCGGTGGTGGCGCACGCCTTTAATCCCAGCACTCGGGAGGCAGAGGCAGGCGGATCTCTGTGAGTTTGAGGCCAGCCTGGTCTACAAGAGCTAGTTCCAGGACAGGCTCAAAAGCTACAGAGAAACCCTGTCTTGAAAACAAACAAACAACAACAACAACAAAATAAACTCTACCGAGTAAACTACATCTTTAGCCTATCTTTCTTTTTCTTTTCTTATTTATTAGACAGTTTTTCTATGGAGACCCAGCTGGTCTCAAACTCTCAATCCTTCCTGCCTTGGTTTCTTGAATGCTGAGATTACAGGTGTTTGCAGCCACACCATGCTCAGTGTCTAATTCCCACAGACTTGTTACCTAAGTGGCGTAGGTAAGGCTCCACTTCTGTATGCCTCAGTTTCCGTGCCTGTTAAGTGGGTACGTAAGACCCACAGTTAAAAGTATCCTGGGTCCATATGAAGCTCAACAACTTTCTACTAATGAGCGCTGTGCTGGGAGGGTGGGAGGTGGTAGCAGGAGGAACATCGGTGCAAGGCCATCCTTGGCCGTACAGAAGCTCAAAGCCAGCCTGGGATACATGAGATTCTGCCTCAGAACAGAAAATAAAGAATGAGGGCTTGAGTAGAGCTCGGCAGTAGAGGACTGGCCTACCACGCATGATGTCCTGGCGTTCATCCTCAGCACTGCAAAAGTCAATCCAGCATCAGTCAGGGAGGCTGGATGAGAGTCTGAGACAGGAGGATGGCTAAGCCTGAGGGTCGTCCCCGGCACCCACATGGTAGGAGGACAAGTGAGAAGAGCGCGCCGGGTAGTGGTGGCGCATATCTTTAATCTCAGCACTAGGAAGGCAGAGGCAGGAGGATCTCTGAGCTCGAGGTCTGCCTGGTCAACAGAGAGAGTTCCCAGACAGCCAGGGCTACCCAGAGAAACCCTGTCTTGAAAACCAAACAATAATAAGAACAAGTAAGAGGAGGATTACAACGTGGCCTAGAGGTGCTGTGTGGTTAGCTCGGGTTCCATCCCACCACTGCGGAAGAGGAGGAACCTTTGCTAAGGGGTCCAGTGCCTGCCTCAGTCTTTTTTATATATAATGTATTTTTTCCATTTCATTTTACATCCCAACCACAGTTCCTTCTCGACGCCTCCCCAGTCTTGAGGCAGGTGTCACTGCCTCCATTTTCTAGACTGAGAAAGCAGGGGCTTTAAACCATGGCCACAAAAAATAGACAAGCTGACCTGAACCCTTCTTCATGAACTGTTCTTTTTCAAGAGTATTTTATTTCTTTGTTTTGTCTTGCTCTTGTAGCCCAGACTGGCCTTGAACTCCTGAGCTCAGGTCATCCTCCTGCCTCAGCTTCCAGAGTAGCGAGGTTTACAGGGACACAGTACTTGATATGGTTCCTTCCACTGTCCTTATTGTTTGCTTGTTTGTTTTTGTTTTTCAAGACAAGTTTCTCTGGGGAGCCCTTGCTGTCCTGGAACTAGCTTTGTAGACCAGGCTGACCTCGAACTCACAGAGATCCGCCTGCCTCCCGAGGCCTGTACCACCAACGCCCGGCTCCACTGCTGTTCTTGTTTTTTCACATGCACTGTTTTTTGTGTGTGCACGATGTTTGTGCAGCACTGTGGGTCCATGGCTAGTGTGTATGTGGTCAGAGGACAACTTTATGGGTTGTCTCCTTTTCCCTTACTTGGGTTCGAGGCTGAAACTCAGGTCACCAAGTGGCTGTTTGATTTTGAGGCAGTGTGTCATGTAGCCTCAAATTCTCTTGGTCTCCTGAGCCTTCTGCCTCCACCCCCAAGTGCTAGAATTACAGGTGTTTATACAGTGCTCTGGGATCAAATCTAGCCAGCTCACAACTGAGGCACATGCCCGGCCCTGTCCATTTTATTACTTTATATTTTATCCTTTTATTACAGGGCTCTTTTTTCATTTACTGCTATGATGGCCACTGGAGAAGGGACTGGCAGCTTGCAAGGAGAAAGTGAAGGCCTTCCTCTCCAGATAGTTACACTGTGCGAGTTTATTGAGCTCTATGGTTTGCAGAAGGGCTGTGTTCACTGGTTCAGGGCGCTCATATGGTAAGGATCTTTCTTTCTTTTTTTTTTTGGTTTTTTTTTTTTTTCGAGACAGGGTTTCTCTGTGGTTTTGGAGCCTGTCCTGGAACTAGCTCTTGTAGACCAGGCTGGTCTCGAACTCACAGAGATCCGCCTGCCTCTGCCTCCCAAGTGCTGGGATTAAAGGCGTGTGCCACCACCGCCCGGCTGGTAAGGATCTTTCTTATTCCCATTTTACCCTTTTTACATATAGGGAAACGCTAAGGCAAGAAGTAAAGCCCCTTGCCGCAGACGCTGGCTGGAGGGGGCGGGTCCCCGGCTCCGGGACCTGCGCCAGCGGCCTCTCCCGGGGTCTCTCGATCCCTTGCCCCCTACCTCACCTTGCCCTTGACGTCCAGAATGAAGACTGCCGAGGCGGACATGGTGGCAGCCGGTGAAGCTGAGAGGCGGGAGCGAGAGGGAGAGGCAGCGCGCAGCTTCCTTCTTCCTGCGGAAGCGCCCTCACCCAGGTGAGCCGCCAGGTGAGCGCGTCTTAAAGGGGAGGCCGTCAGGTGAGCGCGTCTTAAAGGGGAGGCGGCCAGGTGAATGGCGTGGTCGGCAGCAACGCTGATACTGCTTCTGGGGCTGGGAAAGGCAGAACTTGAGGTGTGACAGCTGCCCTGTCTGATTTTCTTTTCTTTTCTTTTCTTTTTTTTTTCTTCTGATTTTCTTTTAGTGATCAAGAATGCCTGGGTGGGGGACTGGAGAGACGGCTCAACGGTTAAGTCATTGACTGCTCTTCCAGAGGACCTGGGTTCAATTCCCAGCACCCACAGGGCAGCTCACAACTGCCTGAAAATGCTGTTCCACGAGATCTGACACCTTCACACCAATGCACATAAAATAAAGTTAAATAAATCATTAAAAATATTTTTAAAAACACCCGGGTGGATGGTGAGACCCCCAGGACACGTGTCCATTGATCTGGCTACCATCCATTTATCATCCCTTCCGGCACACCTCCATCCACATCAGCATCCATCAACCCAGCCATACATACAAGCTTCTGTCCATCCACTAGGGTGTTAATCTGCTCATGTATCTATGGACCTTGCTCTCTCACCCACAAATGCCAGTCTCTAACGGACTTAGCCCCACTCACGGAGGCACGAACAGTTTCTGTCGGTGTCCCCGTGTCACCACCAGACAGATGTTCAGTAATGTCAGTCCTTCTCACTCTCTCGCACTATACTTTTTTAATAATTTATTTATTTGCATTTTATGTGCCCGTATGTCTGTGTGAGGGCGTCAGGTCCCCTGGAACTGGAGTTACAGACAGTTGTGAGCTGCCATGGTGGTTGCTGGGAATTGACACGGGTCCTGTGAAAGAGCAGCCGGTGCTCTTAACTGCTGAACAATCTCTCCAGCCCCATACTCTACACATTTTACAACTTTGTTTTGTTTGTTTGTTTTCCCCCAGAAACAGGGTTTCCCTGTGTAACCCTGGCTGTCCTGGAACTCTGTAGACTGGACTGGCGCTAAATCCACTCCTGTCTGCCTTCCCAGTGCTGGGAGTCACCACTCCTGACCAGTTTTTTGTAATATTTCTAATTCTAGAAGGAAGGTTGAGATTACCGAGGATGACCTAGTAATTATGCCGTTCAGACCTGCCTCCGTTTTACAAGTCTTGAGATTAAGGTCACGAGCTACCACGCCTGACTTTGTTTTTTTTGTTTTCTAACTTCATTTATTTATTTAATAGCCCAGGCTGGCCTTAAACGCAAGATCATCCTGTCTCTACCTTCCAAATGCTGGACTATGGTTTCGCGGAGTGGGGAGAAAGGGAACCAACCTCAAAACCTTCCCGGAGTCAGCGGCGTGATGCTCTACCAGGGAAGAAACGTTTCCTGAACGGCCGTCAGGGGGCGACACAGCCCGCTTGAGCCTCGTTGCCGCAGCCACCCCTCTTCTTCCCTCCCGGGAGTCCGGAGGACTCAGAGCAGCCGCGGGAATTGTCCTAAGGCAGAGGCAGGGAGCCTGTTGGTAGAGTTACTCAGCCAGCACTGAGGAATCCCAGTACAGAGAGTCAGAAGGCCATATAGCCAGGTTGCTAAGTCACAATTCTGTTGTTCTAGTTGTTTTTACCGTCCTATCGGACGGAAGTCCCACCTTGGCGTGAACCAGGCAAGTGCTGTACACTCTCAGCCCTTAAAATGTTTTTGATGGGTGCTGGGCGGTGGTAGTGCACGTCCTAAATCCCAGCACTTGGGAGGCAGAGACAGGAGGATCTCTGTGAGTTCGAGGTCAGCCTGGTCTACAAGAGCTAGTTCCAAAAGTTACAGTTTCCAAAGTTAAAGAGAAATTCTGTCTTTTTTTTTTTTTTTTTTTTTTTTTTTTGGTTTTT